GTGACACTGTGACCTGGACCCACGGCCTTGGGGTTCAGTTTCTTCTCTGTCTTCAGAATTATAGATTTCACACCCAAAATAATTATTTTATGTTTGTTTCCTAGACCAGTCTCCCTCCTCAATAGTTATCAGTTGATTTATAGGAAAAGTCCCTGTGGTTTGCTGATAAATGACCTGAAGTTTTGATGCCTTTGTGTCAATGGAAAATATTTCATCACAGATGGCACTGGGGGGTACCAATATGGTGCGGCCTTATGTATGTAGGATGATGTGGCAAAGAAAGGGCATAGGGTACATTTTTGCCTTGGGGCATCGTTTGGACACAGAATTAATTACTATCTTGTCTTGACTCACTTCAGAAGGTTCTGAGGGCAGTGGCAAAGTTGGCGCCCAGGTGGGAGCAGAGCTGGTATAATATGATGATGGGGTTCATCCCTTGGGAAGCCCAGGGACATAGCTGGAGCCCACGGGATCACTAGGGTCAGGCCCAGTGGATGTCAAGCGAGAAGACACCCCCCCTCCCCGCCAAGTGAGGACACAGCGAGAAGGCATCCATCTACAAGCCAAGAAGAGGGTTCCTACCAGGAACCAAATTGGTCTGCACATTAATCTTGGACTTTCTAGCTTCCAAAACAGAAATAAATTTCTGTTGTTTAAGCTGCCTCATCTATGGTATTTTGCTGTAGCAGCCTGAGGTGACTGAGGTGACTGTCACAGATGGGTCAGTGGTGTGTGGGTCAACCCCTCTCATCTTGCTCTTTTTCTGGACTTCCCAAGGCTTCCTGACTTGTGAATTAAGCACACCAGCCCATTATAGGATCTTCAGCTCAGTTCCACCACTGGTTGGTCAAGTGGATTTCAAGTCTGCTCCAGAGGAACAGGGGTGTGAGGTGTGGTGTAAGCTCCCCATGGGGTTCCTCACTCAAAGCCCATCCTCCAACTCAGTGTCAACCAGAGAAGCCCTGTGTCTTGGCGGGGGGGGGGGGGGGGTGTAGGGAAGAAGGTTTTCAGGCACTTGCTCAACACTAATGACCGGTGTTGTTTCCCACTTGGCTCTGGATCCTTGTTCGAATCCCTCCCTGGAAAGATCGCCAGAGCAGAGGACGAGTGAATGGCAGGATTTGGGAATCAAAGCTCATTTCACAGGACTGTCTATGCAAGCAAATGGCCCAGAACCTGGGGGTTTTGAATGCTGGTCGTGTTTTGTATACATCCCCCAAAAGAGACATGACTAACACCTGGCATGATTCTACGGCCTGAAGGAAACACACATAAGCACAGGGAATGGAAATTTTATTGGTTGACTCACTCAGGGACCTGGAACTTCAGAACAGCTGCTCTTCCTATGAGCAAACTTGGACAAGATGGGGAAAAAAGGCATAATATCAGTAAGGATGTAGATTATTTGGGGAAAAAAAAGAAAAACACTAGTAAACCACCTAAATCAATTGGCATTCACAGCATGCTTTATCTGAAAACTGCAGAATTACACGGCTTTTGAGCACATGTGGAATTTTTACCAAGAGGGCGCTATAAGTCAAATAAATTTCAAGACTGCAATTTTATAGTCTGTTCTGTAATCACAGCAGAATTGAATTCAAAGTCAATGAAAATAGAAGATTTAGAAAATTTTGAATATCTCAGAAACAGGCAAAACAATGCTAGGCTGAAAGGACTCGGAGCTGTGTTTGCCATGAGATTGATCAGAAGGGGCATGAAGGAACTTTCTGGGGGTTGGAGAGTCTATGACTGGATGGAGTGTTGTTTACACAGATGCATATACATTTGTCAAAAGTTGTTGAGTTATACACTTATTTGCATTTCACTGTGTATAAATTTTAACTCAATTTTAAAAAAGGAGCTGAGATCTCCCTCCCCACTTGCAGGCCAGGGCAGTGACTATCTATAGGGGGACCTTATGTCTTCATTATGCCTATTGTGACAGCATAATTATTACAGCATTCCCTTTCACACCTGAAGTGTTCTGATTTATATAATAAACCTATGGTCACTCTGCCTCTGATGGGCTGGTTCCTAAGTAGAGCTAGAGGGGGCAAGATGCTCTGGAAGAAGGAGAGGCCACGCCTAGTCCTGAGTTGGATGTTAGACTGGACAGGGAGGAGAGGTGGGCTGGACTTTTTTGAGCAATGGTGAATTTGGGGAGACCCAGATTTCATTGGTTTTGTATCCATTGCTTTGGGGCCCTCACACTGGGAAATCTGAAGCATGTGTTAAAAACAGTGGCACAGGGAGCCCCGGTGGCTCAGTTGGTTAAGCGACTGCCTTCGGCTCAGGTCGTGATCCGGGAGTCCCTGGGTCGAGTCCTGCATCGGGCTCCCTGCTCGGCGGGGAGTCTGCTTCTCCCTCTGACCCTCCCCCCTCTCGTGTGCTCTCTCTCTCATTCTCTCTCTCTCAAATAAATAAATAAATAATCTTTTAAAAAAAATTAAAAACAGTGGCATAAAGTGAGACGTAAAATTTGCACAAAAAGCTGCATGGCCCCATGCCCAGGTTGTGAGCAATAGCAGGTCTGAGAGGAGAAAAGGCCCAGGGAAAGAGAAGAGGCCAGGACTCAGTGGGGAGAGCCAGCTGAGCAAATCGTCGGAAGACACGGACTATCAAAGCCAAGGGCCTAGGATGGGGAAGGAGCACAGAATGTGCCTGGCATGGTCAGAGGGGACACCCTATCCTCCAGAGAAAGCAGACCCTGTGTGGAGCTACTTCAGAGACTCGGACAACAGGCCGACTGCCGAGGAAGAGGCCTGCCGGATGCCTGGCGGACTAGCCAGGGCAGTGGCAAGCACTCCAGGGAAGGCCAAGGGGCCCGGGGCATCATGGGAGCCTGGGAGGAGGGGAATTCAGGGGCCAGAGTACACACACAAGAAACTCCAGCTTTTGACAGTGCACTGAATGGAACAGATTTGTGGGGATCATTTCAGCTGAAGACGCTGGAGACCTGGTCCTCCTGAAAGCCTAGTTCCATTCATGAGCAGCTAATACTGATTAGGTGTCCACAACAGATCTTGCATCTCAGGCTTTACAGGCTGTGGGGAAACAGGAGAGACCCAACATAAACGCGACACCCGGCTGCCTGAGCCCACGTCACAGCCCCACCCGGGAAGGGCTTCGTTTCACACGAGAGCAGCGTTCCTCAATCTTGACTGGTGTATGAACTGCTTTTAAAGGAAAAAATGCCTTTCTTTTTCAACATCTCCTTGGCGATTCGGGGTCTTTTCTGATTCCATACCAATTTTAGGATTGTTTGTTCCAGCACTTTGAAAAATGTCATTGGAATTTTGATCGGGATGGCATTGAAGGTCTAGATTGCTCTGGGTAGCATAGACATTTTAACAGTGTTTATTCTTCCGATCCATGAGCATGGAATGTTTTTCCATCTTTATTTGTCTTCTTCAATTTCTTTCGTGAGTGTTTCATAGTTCCTAGAGTATAGATCCTTTACCTCTTTGGTTAGGTTTATTCTGAGGTATCTTATGGTTTTTGGTGCTATTGTAAATGGAATCGTTTCTCTAATTTCTCTTTCTACAGTTGCGTTGTTAGTGTATAAGAAAGCAACTGATTTCTGTGCATTGATTTTGTATCCTGCCACATTACTGAATTGCTGGATGAGTTCTAGTAATTTGGGGGTGGAGTCTTTTGGGTTTTCCACATAAAGTAACATGTCGTCTGCGAAAAGAGAGAGTTTGACTTCTTTGCCAATTTGAATACCTTTTATTTCTTTTTGTTGTCTGATTGCTGTTGCTAGGACTTCTAGTACTATGTTGAACAACAGTGGTGAGAGTGGGCACCCTTGACGTGTTCCTGATCTTAAGGGAAAGGCTCTCAGCTTTTCCCCATTGAGGATGATATTAGCTGTGGGTTTTTCATAGATGGATTTTATGAACTTGAGAAAAGTTCCCTCTATCCCTATACTCTGGAGAGTTTTAATCAGGAAAGGATGCTGTATTTTGTCAAATACTTTTTCTGCATCAATTGAGAGGACCATATGGTTCTTCTCCCTCCTCTTGTTAATGTGTTCTATCACATTGATTTGCGAATGTTGAACCACCCTTGCATCCCGGGGATAAATCCCACTTGGTCGTGGTGGATGATCCTTTTAATGTACTGTTGGATCCTATTAGCTAGGATTTTGTTGAGGATTTTGGAATCCATATTTATCAGGGATATCAGTCTGAAATTCTCCTTTTTGTTGGGGTCTTTGCCTGGTTTGGGGATTAAGGTAATGCTGGCCTCATAGAACGAGTTTGGAAGTTTTCCTTCTGTTTCTATTTTTTGGAACAGCTTCAGTAGAATAGGTATTATTTCATCTTTGAATGTTTGGTAGAATTCCCCAGGGAATCCATCAGGCCCTGGACTCTTGTTTTTTGGGAGGTTTTTGATCACCGCTTCAATCTCGTTACTGGTTATTGGCCTATTCAGGTTGTCAATTTCTTCCTCTTTCAGGCTTGGCAGCTTTTTGCACTTCTGGGTATTTATCCCAAAGACACAGATGTAGTGAAAAGAAGGGTCATATGCACCCCAATGTTCATAGCAGCAATGTCTGCAATAGCCAAACTGTGGAAAGAGCCAAGATGCCCTTCAACAGATGAATGGATAAAAAAGATGTGGTCCATATATACGATGGAATATTACTCAGCCATCAGAAAGGATGAATGCCCAACTTTTACATCAACATGGATGGGACTGGAGATTATGCTAAGTGAAATAAGTCAAGCAGAGAAAGTCAATTATCATATGGTTTCACTTATTTGTGGAACATAAGGAATAACATGGAGGATATTAGGAGAAGGAAGGGGAAAATGAGGGGGGGGGAATTGGAGGGAGAGATGAACCATGAGAGACTATGGACTTTGAGAGACAAACAGGGTTTTAGAGGGGAGGGGGGAGGGGGAATTGGTTAGCCCAGTGATGGGTATTAAGGAGGGCACATACTGCATGGAGCACTGGGTGTTATATGAAAACAATGGATCGTGGATCACATCAAAAACTAATGATGTATTGTATGGTGACTAACATAACATAATAAAATAAAAAATAATAATAATAAAATAAAAAATAAAGGAAAAATGCCTGCCGATTTCCAGGAAGAATTAAATTATCTATATTTTAACGTTATTTAAATATACATTTATCATCATGTTATTTAAGCATATGAATATACAAAAAAAGGTAAGTATGGGTCCAAATTCCTAATGTTTACAACTCAAATTCCACTATAAAAGCACATTGACAGAATTATATCAATATGATGGATTTACGATTTGTTGAAAGGGGGTCATGCCTGGTTATGATTCCGTTCTCTGCCAAATCTCCCCATTCCCTCATTTCTCCCCTTTTCCCATTTGTACAAAGGGCCAGAATCTCATTCGCCTTCACGTGGAATGAATAATTATTTACACTGTTCTTTTCTCATGAGTTTATAAATAAATTAAATACAACTAGTAAGATTGTAAATAATAATCCAAAAGTGGCAATCACATGACAGTAGCAGAATGATGTCCTTTACTCACATTCCAGGATATGTGTATACGTTAATTTCATTATATTGTCACTGAGTCAGGTTTTAACTGAGTAACAATTACCCCCCAAAACAGCACTTATTTATAGCTCATAATTCTGTGGACTGATCATTTGAACTGAGTTCAGGCGAGTGGTTCTTCTACTGGTCTTGCCTTGGCTTTCTCATGCAGCTGCAGTCAGTTGGAAGATCAGGTGAGCATCACTGGGCCCTAGATGGCCTCACTCACATGTTGGGCACTCGGTTGGGGGTGACACGTGAGCCCCACATGGCCAACAACTAGCTGGCCAGCACCATCTTCTTCGCGTAGCTGTGGGTTCCAAAGGCAGCAAGAGAAGACAAATCCTAATGGACAAGCACTTTTCAAGCTTCTGCTCGCGTCATATTTGTTGGTGACCTACGGGCCAAAACACGTGGCATCATGAAGCTTAGACTAAGGGTGTGGAGAAATAGAATTACCTCTTAATGGGAGAGGCTGCAAAACTTTGCAACCATATATTCTTTTAACCTATCAAAGTCATAAAAGCAAAATCTTCAAATTAAAAAAATTAGAATATGCAGATCCTTGAAAACACTTTCTTGGACCCCTGTGATGAGTAGCTCATGTGAGTGTAATCCTGTAAGTGAAAGGAGAAGGAGTACATTTTGTTGATGATGGGATTTACAATCAATTATTAAGGATTAAAGAGTGTTTAGACTGAAATGCTACTATGTGGGTGTTTGCCAAGTGGTATTAGAAAACATAAGGTATAGGGGAAAGGTCTTTAATTTCTGGGTGCTGCAAACAGGTGCTGGTCTCTACCGCTGGAGATAGGATGTCCGTGCAGGACAGCACCAAGCTGGGAAGAGCTGCCCGCAGTGGTCTGAGCAGCTCCGGGTTCAGGGTCAATAACGGTCTTCCAGGGACATGTGGGAGGAAGTGCCCCAAATGCAGTAGGAGGTCAGAGGATTCACATCGCTGATGACTCACTGCTAAAGACCTCTATGACACTAAAGGGAAATCCTTGCAAGTTCTAATGAAGGTGTAAGGGAGCCCTGGGAGCAAACCAGGGAGCAAAGCCCTGGGAGCTGTGTGACAGCTTTTGTGTCACACAGGTTTGCATCTTGCTTGAGGTCACTCAAGGGCAGCAATAAGTGGGTAACTCCTCAGGCCAAAGATGTCAAAAAAAAAAAAAAAAAGCTTACAACATCACCACACCCCTGGTCTAGCAGGTGATCCTGTGCAATAACCATGGCAACAGGTGGGCAGGGCGAGCAGGCCAGTAGTCAGGAAGGATCTGCAAGAGAAATGTCTGCCTTAGCAAAGTCCTTCATGTCCATTCACTGGCCTGGCCCAGGAAGTCCAGCAGAGTAAGGAAGGAATGCAATGGGTGGACTTGAGAACCTGCCCTGGGCCCTGGGAAGAGAAGGAAGCAATGGCAAGGCTCACTAATGAGCATGTTCCCATGGTGGGCAGTTGAGGCTCAGTCCCTCTGGGGAACTGCACCCAAATCACCTTGGAGAGGGAGTCTGGGCTGTTGGACACCCACTTCCCATGTATCCTTGCTTTAGACATGCTCCCAGGGTGCACCCTGGCTGGCACGCTCTTGGCCAATGCAGCCCATGGTAGAAAGTTGTGACAGCCCCATATGTCACCTGATATTCAAGACACACAACTTCAATTCACACTGTTGATGAAACTCAAAGACGTTCATATGCAGCACTTTTGACTATTAAAAAGTAAGGACTAAAGCTATTTCTCTGTTGTTTCTCACTAGAATGCAAGAATCAGCATGGAAGCGGGATGGTTCCTGTCTCTTCCCTAGTTTTTCACTGTTGATTCTCTCAAGAACCACCCCCCCAACACACACACACCGCAGTGCACACCTTCAGGGGACACTTACCTTCCTATGTTTCCAAGGTACATTGTTATTTATTTAAAACACAATTATGAATACTATTGGGGCAAGTGTGCTGTTTATTTATGTTGGGTACATTTTAATTGGGATCCTGGAAGAGTGGAGAAAAATAAAATAATTGTGGCTGCCAAGAAAAGCTGGCTGCTTCTGAACATTTTTTTTAAAGATTTTATTTATTTATTTATTTTATTTTATTTTATTTTATTATGTTATATTAGTCACTATACAATACATCATTAGTTTTTGATGTGGTGATCCACAATTCATTGTTTTCATATAACACCCGGTGCTCCATGCAGTACATGCCCTCCTTAATACCCATCACCAGGCTAACCCAACCCCCTGCCCCCCTCCCCTCTAAAACCCTCAGTTTGTTTCTCAGAGTCCATAGTCTCTCATGGTTCATGGGAAATCGGAGGGAGAGACGAACCATGAGAGATTATTTATTTGACAGAGAGAGAGAGACAGTGAGAGAGGGAACACAAGCAGGGGAGTGGGAGAGGGAGAAACAGGGAACCCGATGCAGAGCTTGGTCTCAGGACCCTGGGATCATGACCTGAGCCGAAGGCAGACGCTTAACGACTGAGCCACCCAGGTGCCCTGCTTCTGAATATTTTTAAACCATGGTTTTGAGCAATTTGATCAGGATACAATTGGGAGGGGTGGGGTTCTTTCATGTCTCTGTGAAGAATGTCAATGGTGTTTTAATAAGGATTGCATTCAATGTGTAGATTGCTCTGGGTAGCATAGACATTTTAACAATATTTGTTCTTCCAATCCATGAGCATGGAATGTTTTTCCATTTCTTTGTGTCTTCCTCAATATCTTTCATAAGTGTTCTATAGTTTTTAGAGTACAGACCCTTTACCTCTTGGGTTAGGTTTATTCCTAACTATCTTATGGAGTTTTTGGTGCAATTGTAAATGGGACAGATTCCTTAATTTCTCTTTCTTCTGTCTCATTGTTAGTGTACAGAAATGCAACTGATTTCTGTGCATTGATTTTATATCCTGCCACTCTGCTGAATTCCTGTATGGGTTCTAGCAATTTTGAGGTGGAAGCTTTTGGGTTTTCCACATAGAATATCATGTCATCTGTGAAGAGTGAGAGTTTGACTTCTTCTTTGCCAGTTTGAATGCCTTTTACTTCTTTTTGTTGTCTGATTGCTGAGGTTAGGACTTCAGGTACTATGCTGAACTAAAGTGGTGAGAGTGGACATCCCTGTCATGTTCCTGACCTTAGGGAAAAAGCTCTCAGTTTTTCCCCATTGAGAATGATATTCACTGTGGGCTTTTTGTATATGGCTTTTATGATACTGAGGTATGTTCCCTCTATCCCTACACTTCAGAGAGTTTTAATCAAGAAAGGATCTTGTACTTTGTCAAATGCTTTTTCTGCACCAATTGAGAGGATCATATGGTTCTTGTCCTTTCTTTTATTAATGTGATGTATCGTGTTGATTGATTTGTGGATGTTGAACCACCCTTGCAGCCCAGGAATAAATCCCACTGGTTGTGGTGAATAATCTTTTTAGTGTACTGTTGGATCCTATTGGCTAGTATCTTGGTGAGAATTTTGACATCCATGTTCATCAGGGATACTGGTCTGTAATTCTCCTTTTTGATGGGGTCTTTGTCTGGTTTGGGGAATCAGGTAATGCTGGCCTCATAGAATGAGTTTGGAAGTTTTCCTTCCATTTCTATTTTTTGAAACAGCTTCAGAAGAATAGGTATTGATTCTTCTTTAAATGTCTTGTAGAATTCCCCCTGGGAAGCTATCCAGCCCTGGACTCTTGTTTGTTGGGAGATTTTTTATTACTGTTTCAATATCCTTGCTGGTTATGGGTCTGTCCAGGTTTTCTATTTCTTCCTGTTTCAGTTTTGGTAGTTTATATGTTTCTAGGAATGCATCCATTTCTTCCAGATTGCCTAATTTGTTGGTATATAGTTTCTTGTAATATGTTCTCATAATTGTTTGTATTTCCTTGGTGTTGATCGACGTGGATGGAACTAAAAGGTATTATGCTGAGTGAAATAAGTCAATCAGAGAAAAATAATTATCATATGGTTTCACCCATATGTGGAATATGAGAAACAGCACAGAGGATCATAGGGGAAAGGAGGGAAAACTGAATGGAAGAAATCAGAGAGGGAGACAAACCATGAGAGACTCTTAAGTATAGGAAACAAACTGAGGGTTGCTAGAGGGGAGGTGGGTGTGGGGTGGGGTAACTGGGTGATGGACATTAAGGAGGGCACATGATATGATGAACACTGGGTGTTATATGCAACTGATGAATAACTGAAATCTACATCTGAAACTAATGATGTATACAATATATTGTCTAATTGAATTTAACAATTAAAAAAATGAGTCTTCCTACCTAAGTGTAGATGTTCAGAATTTGACAGGAGCATTGGACTGGGTAGAAATAATGGGTAATGACCACAAAAGAAAAACTGACGTTGACAGAAGCTATGCCTGTTAAAATTACACTAACCAAGGATTCAGATACTGATCTTCATTATAAGCTGTTCCAAAAAGATGAAGAGCATCAATTCTGAAGGAAATAGGCTCAGTAAAATGAAAATGGAAACAAGTTAAAAATTTTTAATTTTGATGTCTAGAAAGTTGAACACAAATTATATTTGTTCTACTAGAATTCGCTCCAGAAAAAAATTGTTTCACAGTAAAGTCATGGGTGCTCTTGTAATGGATGAGGATGTTTCTATGCACAACATCCTCAGGGTCAGAAAGTTCCCAAGGTCAAAACTTTGTGTTAACCTCAATTTATTTGCATGGAGTTGTGCAAAAAATAGTCTTATTATTAAAGTGGGCTTTTTAAAAATAGTTGTTTTCCTTTTTTCATTCATGATTTTGTTTATATCTCTTCCCTCTTCCATTCATGGCTAACATCTGTGAGGGCCCTTTAGAAGGTTAATGTTAACAATTTGGGAAAGGAATTGTATTCGTATATGTGCTGCCAAAGCGAGCACAAGGAATTGCATTCGTTTATGCATGTGATATTTTGTAGGAAGTTGAAAATATTTCTATGCAGATAAATAAAAATTAATCGGTCTCTAAGGGCACAAAACCTTTTCTCCACTTATAAAATCGGTCTTATTTCACTTATATAATTGTGTTTAAAATTAGCAAGTTCTGTGCTAGACACAACACTTCATGTTTTTTTCTAGAGCAATATTTTCCATGAAGTAAGGCTTTATAGTATTATGTGCATTCGTTTTAATTCATGCCCTTCTTTTAGCAAGAAAAGGAAACCAGTTTTATGGGCTGCAAGCCTAGGGATTATGTTTCCTTTCCCGTTTTCTCTGTGATTCACTGTATTATTGTAGGCAGATCACACTGTCTGTGTCCTCACTATCTTGCCCTTTTTAGAGAAGCCAAACTGCACTTTCAGGGTCATCTCTCCACAGAGGTTGTAAAGATCCAGAAGGTCGTGTTTGTGTACTGTCTATAGACGATGAACATTGGGCCTGGG